TGTGTGTGTGTGTGTGTGTGTGTGTGTGTGTGTGTGTGTGTGTGTGTGTGTGTGTGTGTGTGTGTGTGTGTGTGTGAGAATGGGTGACTGATTGAGTTCAGTGTGAACCGCTTCAGGGTCTTCCTGACTTCATAAAGCGCTACACCACATACCTGCCATAAGTGTGGGATCTCAGCTAATGCTACCATACTTACTATTTGCTTTTATTCACAATTAATTCAATAATTACTCTACAGAGCACAAATGGTTATAATCTACCAGACAAATATAATCTAGAAAACAAGCAAAAAGGACTTAAACTGCATTAAATTCTGTAGCTGTCCTATAAACAATGTATATTCTCAAGCCTGGTCAGTCAAGCCAGTGCAGAAGAGCCTTTAACTTGTAGTCTGTCTAATGGATGTGGGAGGTTTGTCCAGTTCCTGTAATCTACAATCCAGATTGTATCAAAGTCTCTGGGCAAATGATCCTACTTTGCACACTGTTACCTCATAATACTCCATTACTAACTTCAACACAAGATTAGTATTAATGAACCATAAGGCACATTTCACTAAATAACTTCCCACCAAGGGCAACTTATTTTTTCTGTAAGTCAGATACCTTATTTGGTTTCGACAGACACTGCTATGCCACTCTCTGATATGTTGTTTCAGTTTCTCTCTTAAACAGCAAGTTGTGTTACAGTAGATTTTATTGGTTGTCTTGGTTTCATATTTGATTCCTTGGGTTTACTTTAAAAAAAGTTAGATTTCTCTAGTAGTTCACTAATGATTGTTTGGATGCAGTAGTCTCCAACATGTTAATTATATATTAGCTCACTTAGATGGACTTTTGCTCTCTTTTCTATCCCAAAACTGATACAGATCTTTGTGACTGAGATCATAAAACTCAGGGAGATTGTTTCACTGTATTAGATGGCTGATGTAACAGGGGAATATGCTGCTGAAATCAATTAGTTTTAACATTAATGTTAAAATTAATTCATTTTTTTTATTAAATAATTCAAACAGTTCCTTTGTAGCAGACTCTTAGTATTTAATATTTTGTCAAATATTATTTTTTTATGTTGATGAATCAGTTAGTATGGATGAAACAATTCATGTATCTTTCTGATGTTGCAGTCACTTGTTTGCTTTTATGCTTTATTTTAGACAAAGTCACCAAGCCTACCATATCCTGTGAAATAAACAATGCAAGCACCTCTGAGTCAACAGGGAAGGCGACTCTGCTCTGCTCTTTACCAACCCATTCTGATCAGTCCTCACTGGAGTTTCAGTGGAGCACAAATGGACAGATTAATCGTGGACACATGTTGAAGATTTCCCTTGGAGGGGAAGTTGATGATCATCAGTACAACTGTACTGTAAAGAACCAACTCACTGAGGAATCAGCAGTGTTCACTGCTAAGGACTGCTACCCTGGTAAGATATTTGTTTTACACTTTTATTCTTTAGTAAACAAACTTAGAGGCTATTATTCATATTCTAATGAATAATAGAATAGAAATTTCACCAGAGATAACTGGTGAACAGTTATCTCTATAACTGTTCACCAGTTATAGAGATAACTGGTGAACAAAAGCAGATATATGATCAATTTTATTGTAATTTCAGTTTTTTTATTTTTCACTTTGCTTTTTCTTTACAGAGCCAAAGGCTCAAGCCGGACTGATTGCTGGTGTTGTTGTGCTTGTTGTTCTACTGCTGATTATACTGCTGTTGTTCTTCATTTGTCTTAAAAAAGGTACTGTTACAAATAAATTGGTCATGAGTAATAAAGTGGAATAAAATTAAATAATTGAAATCATGAACAAAATAAGGCATAGAGATTCTCAAGACGTTGACTCAAAACACACAGCCAATGAAACTCAATTGGTTCTGAGGAAAAAAATCAAACAGACCTGCTGGAATGGTTCTGTTAATAAACCCATATGAATCCAATTGGACAAAGTATGGAAAGAATAGATTATCAGAGTACATAATATAAGTCTCCCCGAACTTTAAAATTTGTAGGCCATTTGTTGGATTTAAAAGTCAAAATCCAACCTACGGTATACATGCAACTAATTTCTCCATGTCTTGCAGCTGTCATCACCCACCAAGCTACTTTTATTAAGTATTTTATACATTTTAATGAATGTTTTAAAGGTACTGTTATTTTTATAATATTGTAAAATATTGTAGCATTTTACAAAATTACACATGAATTGCTCCTTTTAGATTTCTTCATATGTGTAAATTTCTCAGATCGTTACTAGTATCTATTGTAGATTTCTTGTCAGTACCCTCATTAGAAATATATGCACAGAGAAAAATGTTGATTCTTTCTTCAGTTATCATTTTTTTCAATGATTTGAATAAGTAGATTGATAGACAGTTCTCTGAAACTTAATCATGATACCGTTTTCTTGATTCTAGTACGCTCAAAGAAGTCTGATTTGGAAAGTCACTCAAAACCTGGATATCTAAACGGTATGTCAGTATTTTAAACGGAAACATTGTCAGTTTTTGTAATAATTTATTGGTGTAAATAACAGAAATATTTTTTTGCTTGTTGTCATCTAGAAGACTGATATAACAATCATTGAATTGATAATGCAATTTACACATTTAACATTTTGAAGCAGCATTTTCTTAAGCAGCTCATAGTAATTTTTAAATGATGGGCTGCTATGAAACAAAGAAGCAGGTTTACAGTAACAGATGTGATTTTTCTCTATATTAGCTATTTCTTAGTATCATATTAACAGTGACAGGTTTAAATATCATTGTGATAATTTATTGATTTCCAGCTACATTTATTATGTCTTTCAAATTTTTTCAGTAGCAGCATCTGGAAGTGAGGAAACCCGGGTTCTTCTGGACAGAGCACCTACATTTCCCTCTAAACAAACTCTTGAACACCTAAAGCAAATAAATGACGCCCCGTTGAATCCTCCCCATAAAGGTAAACTCTACCCAAAGATTTACTCGATTAAAGAAAGTGAAGCATAACTGTTTCATGTAAATTAAAGCAAAGAATTTACATGAAAGAACTTGCAGTGGAAGAAGAAATATATATAATTTTCTGTATAAAGAATGGCAAAAATGCATAACGTGAAAAAGAATCACTTTAGGCATCTTAAGTTACAAAGTCAAGTTTAATATGCTGTATCAGAAGTCAGACTTTGTTTTTTACTCTGTTTTGTCTCAGGGCAAAATCGGATCTCAAGAAAAAGTGACCTCAGAAGCCATTGTATGTGCATATAATAAAATACATGTTTTTTGTGCAATGATTTTGCTGATAGTAATTAACTTTTTACAGATGAGGCTCTTATGAAGGAGCTGAGGAAAAGCATTCGCCTACGTTCATCCTCAGGTAATCCGTTTTGCTGAGTTTATAGTAAAAATGTTTATTAACATTTGAAGACCTTAATTTCTTTTTTTTTGTTTGTTTGTTTGTTTGAGAGGATTGCATCCTCTTTCTCCCATCAGTTAGTCTAAAAATGTATCCTCAGTACCAAGAGTTTTTAATTTAGCTGTTAAAGAAAGTATATTTTAGATTTTTAATCTAATTTTGACAACCGTATGAGGAGTTATTTCTGGTCTACAAATTATTTGATTGTATTTAGTTTTCAAGGTTTTATTTTTCAATAATTTACAAATTCATTCAGAACTGAAAATGTAAAAAAAAAAACAGTGTGTTCCTTAATTTGTATGGAGAAAACCTTTTTTTATCTTCAGATGTTATTGAATGAATAGCTGCATTTTGTTTCTTGTCTCTTACTTATATTTTACAAGACATAATTTTTTAGACTAACTGAATGGTTTGAATTCATCTCACTACACATGTGGATTCAGTATTACACTGCGCTTTATTTTTTTTTATTATTTTGTGGTTTAGATTCAGAGAACAAAGTCCAAGACAACAAAAGTCCTTCACCTGCGCTGGTTAAAAAACGTTGCATGTTCTTTGAGGAGATTGGAAAAGCTAATGAAGCTGAGCCCAGAAAGGTTGTGGA